GGGGGGGGGGCAGGGGCAGGGGCACATGGCCAAGTCGCCTGGGGATTCTTTTTTTCAGCAGGACTCTCAGTGCAAAGGTGGTACAGGTCGAGAGGCGCTGACACACAGGAGGCAGGGCAGTTTATACACAGGAGGATCAGAGGAGCACGGCGCCGTCCCCGCCTCTCCCGCCCCCTCCTCCGTGGAGCTGGGTGGCGAGAGGCATGGTCAGATCGTTGGCACTTGGACTGGCGGCCAGCCGCTCCGTCCGCCGCGCGTTCCAAAGCTGGCGCAGGACGGCGCGCGCGTGGGCCACACTTTCGCGTGCGGCCACGGCTCCTGCGTTGGCCAGTGCCTCGGTCTCCCGCCGGGTGTAAGCAAGATTGATGGTGTCCAGGAAGTCCTCACATAGGGGGGGTTCTTCGCGCACTGGCGCCAGGTCCACCGGGTGGAAGACGCTGCCGGCGCCCGTCGCCTCGCCGAGAACCGTTTCCTACGCCGGACAACACGCGCGCGCACACACACACACACACACACACATGCACATGGTTGTGAGTCAGGGGTGAACCAACCTTCAGGCGATGGCTGGGCGTGAACCATGGCCCAAGAAAGGAAGCAGAAAGGAGGCAGAAAGGAAAGAGCAGCGATGGGGCCACGCACCTTCGACAGATGGGAGTAGATGATGTGCGGCCCGCCGGGGCCGGCGTCCAGGGCGGGCGCCCCGCCAGGCGGCGGGAGCAGGAGGGAAAATGCGGGCCCGCCAGCCGGGCTTTCCCACCTCGGCGCACGAAGCGCCGCCACCGACAGCCGATGGTGCTGCGACCAGGCACGCGCCCGGAGGAGGGACTTCGGCAGGCGACGATAGCCCAGGCCGGCTTGGTCGGAATCCCGCAAACCCAGCTCCTCCAGCAGCGCGGTGTTCAGGCGTGTGGTCAAATCGCAGCGCTTGCGCGGGGCCAATGGCAGCCTGTTGACAGCGCGTTCCACAAACTGCCGGATCATGGCATGAGATCGGTCCTCCTCCGGGAGAGGCTGCTGGCCGGCATGTCCCATGCCATCGACGTCGCCCGCCAAGTGCGATCGATCCAGTCGCGGGAGTGGGTCCAGCTCGCCAAGTGGAGCGATGCACTCCAGGGCAAAAACATGATCAGGGGTGGAGTGGTCAAAGAAGTGGTCAGACACCTCGGGTGACGGTTGGGCCGCCTCAACCATGTCCGCCCTGGGAATGCCCTCCTCGCCGCGGGTCACCTCGCTTGAGGCATCAAACGACAGGATCACATCCACACCGCGCTCCTGGCGCAGCAGCGGCGGCAGGGGGAGATTGAACTACACAACGGGCAAGGTGAGCCAAGCGAAAGGACAGCGGGCGAGTAGGAGGGGCAGAGAACGAGAGAGAGAGAGAGAGAGAACGAGAGAGAGAAGCAGGAGATGCGAGGAGGGGGGGGGGGCAGCCAGCGAGCAGGGCACAGCAAAGGGATCGAAGAGAAGAAGGGAAGATAACAAAAGGCACACTCGTGCACGCACGCCAATGCCGGCATCCGCCAGCCAGACATCCTGTGTTGTGGGGCTGCCGTCCTGGAGGACGGGGAAATTGTAGATCGGGGCCGGAGAAAAGAGCGATGCATTGCGGAAGGGCAGCGAGGACTGGAGACCCGACGACAAGAGCCGGCGACAGGGCCAGAGGATTGGCTGGTGAGAGGCGGCCCCGGGAGGAGAGCCGGAGGAGGCGGATGAACAGCGGACCCGGGCGTACCTCAGATGCCAAATCGGTCAGCCAGTCCGTCCACTGGCGCAGGGCCCCGGCACCAGTGACGCTGGCAGCGCCTCCTGGTGGCTGGGGCGATGTCATGCCATCCAGATGTGGCTCCAGCGCGGTGCGGTGGTGCTCAATGCGCGAGGCGACGAGCTCTCGCCACGATTGGCCGAAAGTCGCACAGAAGGCCGACCCGCCGATGGCCATCACCCGGTGCTAGCCCCGCCCCCGCCCCGAAAGACGCGGTAGTTAGCATGCTTGTCTCTGACCGGGGCCATTAGGAAAGGAGGGAAGCGACAGCGATCCCAAAAAGAGCGACCCCCCCCCAGACACACACACACACACACACACACACACAAAAGAAGCTACGCACAAGTGGCATCTCCGAAGCCGGGCCACCCACATCGGAGCTCACACGATCGGAGCTGAGACGCGACAGCGGGACAAATCCCCCAAGATCTCGGCTGCCCGCCTCGAGGGGAGTCCACTCGAACCAACTGAGCGGCGGCCCAGTATCTACATCAGCGACCACCGTCTGATCCCCGCCACTGGCAACCTGAACCGCGGTAAAGATGGGAAGTGGGACCCGGCCGCTCTCTAGGAGTGAGGTAAACTGGCTCAGGCGCAGCGGCTCAGGCAGTGATCCATGCCCAGTGTCTCGAGCCTCGACTGGCGTGTAATCATCCAGGAGTTGAGTCCCAAGCGCCGCGCCCCAGATATCGATGGCCGAGAGGGAATCTTCACCATGCCAGTCGGGGGAATTGTCAGTAGGGGAGGCCCTGGCAGCGAGGGAAACGTGCCAGGCAGCTCGAGGGGACACGAACCGGTTTCAAGTGTGCGGCGCAGCAGATGCGTGGCGAACCGCGTGCGGGCGGGCGATGCCCCAGGCCGGGAACCCTCCACGCACTGAGTCCATGGAAGCAGGACATTGATCAGGTGGTGCTCCAATCTCGGAGGCAACTCCTCCAGTACCTGGCCCGGGGCAAGTCGGCCGCCATTGGCACCGGCATGCAACGCGTGGGCATACAGTCGCGCCAACATCCACGAAGAGCCCGACTGGGTACGAGCACACAGTCAGCCAGGTTGCAACAGGGAAAGGCAAGTCAGAGCACAAGATGCCCGGAAGGGCAAGCCCCTCAGGCGTACCAGCCCTGCCATGTAGGACACGCAGTCCAGAAGACCCTGGCGCTCGAGTTCGGCCACAAAACCAAAAGACGAAACCATTGCTCGGTAGCCGCCACCACTGGAGGTGTTACAGCAAGGGTGCCGGGGGGGGGGGAGTTCAGAGGGGGGGGGGGGGGGGGGGGTCAGATCGACAGACGGGGAAGGCGACAAAGACCAGGGCGATAGGCGTGCAGGGGGAAAGGAGGGAGAAAAAGAAGGAAGGAAGGAAACCCACCTGGCGGCGAAGGCCACGGTCGGGATGTCCCGCGGATCGACCTCCGCCTCATCGACTCCGATGAACCGGGCGAAGCTGGCGACCATGGCTCGCTTGCGGATTTCCAAAAACTCCGCCTCCCCCGGATGCAGCAAGCTGCTGGGATGCACGCCGGCTGGCAGGTCATAGCCTCCAGGCACCAGGCGGATGGGCGGGCTGCTCGGTGGGGGAAGAGCGCGGCAGCGGCCGGCTGCCATGGCCAGGCGATCGCGCAAACGCCGTACCCGCAGTCCACCGGTACTCGCCCCGAGCCCCGGCGACAGGAGGCCCAAGAGGGAGGGTCGCCGGACGGGGCCCGGCACTCGGCTTAAGCCGCGGCCACTGGGGCCAAGCAGTGTTCCCAACGCATCAAGCGTCATCGAGTTCATGTAGTAGCCGATATAGTCACCAAACACTGGGCGAAGACCGACCGACGAATGTTAGATTAGCCACCAGCAAGTGAGGGTACTCCGTCTCACCCCTCCCCCTGTCTCTGTCCCTCGCCCTCGCCCTCGCCCTCGCCCTCGCCCTCGCCCTCGCCCTCGCCCTCGCCCGCCTCCCCGTCGTCGAACCACGACATGCGCAGGACGAACCGTTCCGTGAGGCAATGCCCCCATCGGTGGGATCATCCTCCAAGCGCACAGCACTGAGACTCGGGTGTAGGAGCACCACGTGTGAGGTGCTGGCCTCGGAGGCGGGGGCCGTTTCATCGGCAAAAGAAAACTCCACCTGGGCCGCCAAGGCGCGGAGATCCGCACCGGCGCCTTGGCTCAGTATTCCGGCCGAAGGCTCCACCTGTAGGGACAGCTCGCGCCAGGTGCCCGGCGCCAGACGAATACTCAGTTCCCGGGCATCCGGATCGCGCAAAACCAAGGGCGCCAGGTACGGCGAGCGCGAGGTACATCCCAAGCCGAAATAGTGCAACGGGCCTGCCCCATCACCGGACCGGTCGGTCGGATGTGACAATACCGGTCGCAGGCGGGCTACCACCTCGCGGCCGGTTTGATTGTGTACGGCCAACAGGCGGGCCGCAGTCGGCCCCGAGGGATTGTGCACGCCGGCTGACAGGCCGGCTCCCGCGCTGGCAAGGCCATCTGCCACGGTCCAAGCGTCGACAGGCCGCTCGATGAGGCCGATGGCGGCCAAGTGCGGCAGCTGTTGGGCTCCAGCTGCCAGGGAGGACCCCAGCTGGGTGATGAGAAAATCGCGCGACACCCTGGCCAAGCCATCCAGCGCGGCCGGCACACCGGCAGACTTCTGCCGAGCCAGCTCCTGTAGCTGGACCACGGCCTCAAAGCCCAGGAGTGCACGAAGCAGGGGGCTCTCACGCAGGGCATCCAGGGCAGGTAGCCCTGGCAGTGGAGCTCGAGAGGTGACCCCGGTGGTGGAGGTGGCCAGCGTTTGCCAGAGGCCCGGGAGACGCTGGGCCGCCAGGCCATAGGAGGCCACGGCATTTTGCTGTGCCAAACGCCAGGCCGATTCGGCCAATTGCCAGGAGGCGTTGGCGAGCTGGGCCGGTCGCAGGGCCGGGCTGGTCGTTGTGGCCGGTGCCGAGGTGGACCCCGGCGCCGGCAGGGTGTTGGACTTTTCCCCGAGGGCATCAATTTGCAGGCCAACCAGGCGCAGAGCATCTGACAGGTAGTGCCCAACGGCCGGGGCGGCGCGGGATAGGTGTCGCCAGCCCCATGTGGAGTGTGGCGGAGTTCGACCGCCAGTGCCGGACGCCTCCAACAGACCGGCCAGTACGACACTCAAGTGAGATGATTGCTGGCCAACCGGCGAGCTGGCAAAGCGCCGAGACCGAGGAGAGGGCGGGGGCGATCGGCGTGTTCGCCCCAGCCGGCACATTGGCTCCTCGTCGGCCATGTGGGATCCCGGAGCCGATGGGAAGCACGGGTCTCGGGGGGTGCCCGAGCAGGCGCCATCACACCCACGCAGGAGAGACATGCCGGTGCTCGGACCGGCGGTGGCGCTCGCGGGCCGAGTTTGCAGCGAAGGAGGCGAGGCACCAGGCCGGGCAGCCTGAATGGTTCTGGCAACCCGGCGTGCGCTGCGACGCAAGGTCCGAAAGAGCGAGCTCGGCCGATGGCCCGAGGCACCGGGGCCAGGGGATGCCCCAAGGGCCCCGGGCCGCGCACGGGCCATCGCCTGCGCGAGCCGAAGCATGACCGCGGCTGGGCTTCACTGTGGGGAGGGACAGCAGAGGAGACGAGTGGGAGAGGGAGAGGAAGAGGGAGAGAGAGGGGGGGGGAGATAAAGAAAGAGAGAGATAGGGCGGGGGGGGGGATGGTCTTGTGGCAGAGGCGGCGGTGGTGGGCAGGCCCAAGAGCCCCTTGAGGGGCGTCCAAGAGGCTAGCCCATTTTCCCCTCCGCCCCCTCGTTTGTCTACATGTTATATTTTTTTTGGCGATCTCAGGTCGGACACGATCGGCACCACATCATCACCATCGCCATCAGGTCCGGCGCACATGGGCCGCGGTTGGGTCTCGCCGGGGGCGAGGTCCCCACAGAAAGGACTCGAGTCCCTGGTGTAGCTCCTGATCGAGATGGAGCGGGGAGGGGGGGCGGCGTGGTACAGAGAGATCCCTGGACGCCAGACTGATCGAGAAGATACTGCCCCGCCGGTCTAGGGTGCACCTGGCCCTTCCTTCTTCCCGGCCCTCCAGGTCTGGGAGCCCGAGTCGCCCAAAGCCAGGGCCCAAGAGGGAACAGCCACCTCTCGGGCTGGGGGCAACCCGGAGAAGACAGCCCAAACACTGGTTGTAGTCTGAACTACAAGTACGTGTTCATCACATGGTTGGTCCCGTCTTGGTAATGTGCCCGTGATCCTATCACATTTGTGAGATCCTTGTTGGAGCAAGCCGCCCGCGAGACTGGCGAGGCGCTCCGTCGGCTATTGTCGTCCCGAAGCGTGGGCGCGTGTGTCCCCCTCTCTTCGGCCGGACTGGCCGCAGACAGCTCCCCCGGCCACGCACCTCCCCGAAGAGGCGCCCGAGAGAGTGGAGGGGGGGGGGGGCTGGGCCGGCTTCCGGGGCCCTGGACCATTGGTAATCGCCACAGGTCGAGAGGTGTCTGCCGCCGCGAAAATCGGCAGGGCCGGGGCGCGTCGCATCGCCCACAGGGCCCCCGGTCTGGCCCAGAGGGTGGGCCATCGTTGTTCTCCCGGTACCGTCCTCTCCCCCCCGGGGGAGGGCGGGAACAGGCCTCGCGGCGCGCGCCTGTATGTTTGTGCGCTTGTGCCCGGCGAGGGGGGGGGGGGGGGGGGGGGGGGCCCCGGGTCGGGGGGGGGGAGGCCACCCCCCCGGGGAACATGGGGTGGGAGGGGGGAGGGTGCGCGGGCGGCACCCCTCGGGTCCCTTTGTGCCAGGCGGGTGGGTGCGGGGAATTCGGCAGCCTGGCGGTCTCTCGGGGGGGGGGAGTCTTTTCACCGCGCGGTGGTTAACAAACGGCGGTGCTCACGCTACTTTTGGGGGTTCGGGAGGGGACGGACACGGGCACGCACGCGCGCGCACGCGCGCGCTGGCGGCGCGACTGAGTCCGCTCGCCCTTTCGCATTGTGGTTGTATCCCGTCCTCGGCCCACCCCCCGGGGCATGACGGCCCACCTTTCCAGGACCACACACCCATGGCGTAGGGAGGTGCGTTCTGCGCCCTCGAGGCCCCGCCGCACGCCGCCAGGCCACGGAGGCCACGGCGGGG